TGGCTCGGCGCCCCATTTCGGGAGGGGCATCTGCAATTTAAAGTCAGTCTGCGTGCTTCTACTACGTAAAGGAGACATAAGAATAGACACGAGTGCGTCGTCTCTCAGAGAGGTTGAGTCGTTACCGTGGTGTCGGGGACGAGCTGAAAATGCATTGTAGTAGAAAAAGGGGGCCGCGGGGGCCGAATTGGTGGCTGTGTTGGCGAGGTGCGGCCGCAACGCTGCATTTCTGGCAAGTAAAGTCGGTGAAAGGCCGTTTGGAATCATCATGCCATGGCGCGCTGGAGGGGGCGGGAGGCGAAACCAAACAACTTTTTCTCAAATGGATGTCTGGGCCAGGATATGATTGATGGTGGCCGCGGATGCAAGATGAACCCCCATCTCGAGGATATGAAGCTCGGAACGGGACCTTACAGGCGGGAGCAAGTGCGATGATCAGCAACAGCAGCAACGACTCGAGGTTCATTCGCGCGCATAAGGAAAGGATGACATGGCGGCATGCAACATCGTCTTTTGGCCATTGAGAGGGGGGGTTTTTCTAATCGTGCAGTAATGCAAGGCAGGCGCGACGGGATTTCGTATGGGCACCATTTGTCATCAGCAGCGTCTGAATACAGGAAGGATGGATGCGGACGTGGCTTCTCCAGGATAATTACGATCCAACCGGACCAGCAACACACCAAGGATGACAGCGCGAAGTTGGGAGCAACGACTTGTCCCCGCGATGTGATGTGATGCTCTCACCGGAAAATGAAGAAAAAGTGCCCTCACACGGGTGGGTGATCGATCCCCTCTGCCTTACTAACATAGGTACTCCGTACTTACCTACCTAGTATTATACGGAGGAGAGTGAGTGTAGGCATGATTCCGTACGCTCGGACATGACAGCCAGTCGCTCTCCGCGGCTACTCCCAAAGGGGCAGGCAGTCGCGCATGCCTCTATGTATAGGTAGATACCTACCCGAAGGTACGCAAAGTTGATAGAGTGGTATAAATACCTACTGTAATGTAGGAGCAGGTACTTGGACGACATGCCTTCCAATATCTGACTAGCCAGCTTCCTGTTGCCTTCTCCAGCATTACCCCCAATTAGTCACTGTCGTGGACGGCAAGGGCTACCGGCGATGAGAACAACTCAGGGCGAGGACACCAGATGACAGATGTGGCGATGCATGAATCAAACTATGCATGGTTTCGACGACGTATTAGTGTTTTCTTTTTTCTCTCTTCTTTTTACCAAATTCGTGCTCAGGAACCATTGGGGAATGCACCCCTCGAAACATTGTTCCACCTTTTGGTAGGATGGAAAGAGCGAATAGAAGGCTCTTGCCGCTTCAAGGCCAGCTGAATGAAGCATGCTTTTCTGGCCAGACCATCACGTATCACGCATCGCCGTCGCTTTCGTGCCTTCGCATAAGCCACATCAGACAATTCAAAGTTCCAATTCGAATTTAGTGCACGCCATGTCTTCGAAGCCTCCAACCTACGTGCCTGTCGTCTCTCTCTCTCTCTCTCTCTCTCTCTCCACACACACACACACACACACACACACACACACACACCATAGCTTCCCGTCGCACACTTTGCTTCCCCCCCCCCCGCTTTCTTGTCAGGAATCTAGATCCAGGTAGGTACGCTCCTCCTCCGCCTGTATCCGATTTCACGGTCACCGACACTAACAAAAATCATACTGGCCTTTGGCCCTGTTAGCCCAGTTGGGCGTGATGGATATGGATCAATAGTCACAATCCAATCCTTCTTCGTCGTCTCCCAGGGGCGTACGTCTAGGCAGCCTCCCTACCGGCAGAAAGTCACGCCCGGTCAACGCCACATCCATCCTGTTATGGTGCACGGAGCTACCACCGGCATGGTGCGAACGCTTCCTCGGATTCTTACACCCACTCGTCTTCGCAGCTGACGAAGCTCGACTTCCCACCCATCCCAGCACCACCTTCTATTCAAGAATTCTACATTGGCATGATTATACCTTCATCTCACCCTGGTTGGTTTGCCTTTACTCACCTCGCAGTCACACCATTCCATTCATCATTGTCGCCATTACCGCTGTGTATTGCTCAGTTGCTGGTTTCCGGCAATCGCTCTCCTCATGCGCCACATCATGTAGACCCATCGCCGATTCTTTGTGGCCTGTTTCGGCACGCCGGTTTTCGGCTATCTGTGACGACATGTCTGTCTGTCTTGCAGTACCACTGTGAAACCAACCTATACCAACACGCACAACGCCCGACCCAATCCGCCTCCGGCAACGTCTTGAGCCAAACTCCATCATCAGCGTCGCGATACATGGTCGCTTGGTCCGAGAATTCCCCATCCTGACGGGCACGCATCGATCGGCGCCACAGGGCTGGCAGAGCAGCCAATCGTGCGATGGAAAGGGCCTCGAAGAGGAACAAGGTTGGAAGTATTCCACCCCGCTAGACAGGGTGGGCTCCAGATGGCGTGGCTGTAGGGCTCACCTCAGCTGAACAGGTCCCCCGTTCCACTCAGCCAACGCTAACTCGTTTTACGACATATCTCCTGGTCCCCCCAAAGATTCCAACCCTCGTTGACAGGGTCTCTGCCAGCTTGGTTCTGCGGCTTTTCGTTTCCGCTTGGGTCCCAACCGGTCACCTGCCACCGACGAGTCCCCGTTTGCCGCGACTAGGGCGGGCCTATACGATTACGACAGCTACTTTTGTATACCACAGAGGTCACCGAGCCGCCGCTGGCAATTGTGGATTGTGTCCAACAACCACGGTGGGTATGTCAGCAATGCCCCGGCTGCTCAGCGTCTTCCAGTCCCCTGGCCAGACTCTCATCCTGGATTTGGGACCCGCGAGCTGGTGTCCGCTCCGGCTTGTGTTGGCCACTGAAAGCGCCCTAGTGCTAGCCATGGTGTAATACCAGTCACAATGTGGGATCGCCACCCAAGCTTGCGCCGCGCTTCATCGGACCAGAACGACCAAGCAGAGTCGCGTCTCCCTTTTTCCTTTCTTTTGTTTCTTTTGTGGATCATCCGGACTTTACGTGGTCACCAATTCACACTGCGACCGGACTGGTGCTGGGATTAGTCCAGCTTGGTCTTCCCAGTACTTCGGATGCCCACGGATGGGGTCATTCGAGCGAAGATCATGCTGGGCTGAATGACAGGGATCGGCTGTGCTAGTTTCCCTTGGCTTCGCTTCGAGAAAAATCGACCCCAACTCTTGCTCTCTTTTTGGAGCAACAGCAACCACCAACAGTGCAAAAAGAGTTCGAGGTATGGGTCGTCGTTGGAATCCAATCTCGCCGGCGTCTTCGGCTATTTTCGTCAATGAGTATACCGCCTTTGCTCAACCATCCATCCAACACCACGTTCGCCGTTCCACTCCATATTCTCTGCCTGTCTGTCCTTATCAGAGTCGCCGCCATGTCATTGCCATGTCACTGCCAGCTTTGGTGCTGACGTTCCCAACTGCCCTGGCCAGTCAAACAACCGAGACGATAACCAACTGTCAGTCGCCTACCCAACCTAAGGATGAAGAGTCAATCACTCTCCAACGTACATGATGACCGCATTTTCAGACTATCATGGCGTTCATTGTAGCCGGGCCTCCTCCACACCCTCGGTCGCATCCATTTTAATCCCGTTCACGCCCGCTTCTGCAACACCACTTAACATGGAGGCGTCTCCAGCTTCGAAATCAACCACTCGAAGCCGATAACCGCACACCACTACATGCGCCGCTTTGCGGCAAAATCAAATAAAGCGCTGTCGCCATCGTGACTGTTCCAGAAAGCCTGAGGGTCTGGCTAGCGTCATTAGTCTGCGCCGGCTCTCGCTTGAAAGTGAGAGTGAGAGTGGGAGAAGAGGAAAGGAGGCTGACTGAGAATGAAGGCCGTGCTCTCTGAAAACGGGGATCCTGGGCTGAGCTATTCATTCCACGCCAGCCAAGGAGTGTGCCGTCCGTTACCACACACCTCCTTTTTGTCTCACACCCTCACGACCTCGACCCCTTCTTACTTAGATCTCATTATCTCATTCCTTTTGCCAGTCCTTTCTTGCCGAGCCAGATCTGGCGATACCTTTGCGAGCTGTCCCCATACTGCATCGTCTCCCGCGGCTTGGTGCATCAACTTTGTCTATATATATATGCTACCCGTTGCCCGTCTCATTTTGTCTGTAATCCTTCCACCCCACCAGCGCTCCATTCAGGTCCTAATCCTGCCCAGTTCCGATCCTCATTCATCCTTCGGCCGTCCTTTGGGCACATAGAAATCAAATTGTCGTCGCCAGAAGACAAAGCATTGTCCTCGTCCTCGTCCTCACTCTCATCGCTCAACCATTGCGGCCTGCATCTACCAAGGACGGAACCGAGCCCTTGATTCACTTCGGCTCGTAGCCTTTTGAGGAATTTGGAACCTGCCTTGTTGTAAGTCTGACATAGTATGCAGTTATTGGACGACGAAGCCGCTGCCCGCGACGCGTGGGAACCATTCATGTTCTGCTCATGGGTTCGTTTCAGAGCCTACGGCGCAATGAGCTTCGCGCCACCCTAGCGCGCGGCACCGAGTTGAAAATAGCACCACAAGAGGTCTCAAGCACTTACACATTGATCATATAGACGGACGCCTGCCACTTCTACTATCCCTTCACTTCCTGTCCTCCTCATCCGAACACTGAACGAGCCACACAAAGCAACCAGCTCAACCAACCCGGATCTTTCTTGACACGACAATTTTCCCTCCCGACGTACGGCAGATGCAACGGCCGAGGCCCACCATCCCACCCCCCTAGTCGCTTATGTCCAGCAGCGCCATTCCATTACTCGCAAGCCACCGTTAGTTCTTGGCTAGCCCGCCAGGCACAGGCATACCCCTCCAAAGACCGACCATACCGCATCTGAAGCTCACCGACCGAGGTACCTCTACTTCCGTGGTGAAGGTTGGCAGAGACCCCCTTTACGACCTCCCAAGCCTAATCACTTGCCCGAATAAGCCGGGTCAGCCTTTAAGCAGCGATGCCCGCTGTCAATCATCCTCAGCTGGGCTTGTACGAGCCGCCCTCGGCTGCCCGTTCTTACCACCACTTCACCTTCTCTCATTTATGCACCGGGCTCGCCTTGATTGTACTTCTGACAGTCTTCCGCCTGGTAGCATGTCGTGCTCTCTCTTCTACGACCAGCAAGAAGGAAAGGGCCGCCCAGAGCCATAAGCCGGTTCTTGGCGACATTGACCATCTCATTAGACATCCACGGCTTCACCATCCCTTCGTTCAGCAAGACGGCTGGGTAATGGAAGAAAAGAAACGTCGAGTCAGCAGTGACACTGAGGTTGGCGGGCTGCGATCGGCCGGGGACCCAGATCCGCAATTGTATTTCTCGTCTGAAAATGAGAAAGAAGCGGGAGAGGGCAAGGGAAAGGGGAACAGCAGTGACCCGTCGTCGCGCGGCGTCATGTTTGCACCGGGAAAGCCTTCAAACATGGATTCGGCTCGGTTCATGCTGTCGAGGCCCCAGCCTCCGCCACCCCTGACGCCTCCGGAAATGTCGCCGTCCGTTTTCACATACGACGAGCGCAGGAGGAGCTTCACCAGCGGCGTATCGGAACTAGACGCTTCCTTCTTTGAACAGCCAAACCCAGACTACATGTCATCCACCTTTACAGGAGCATCGACAGCTACACAGAGCACGCATACCACGCGCTTCTCCATGACGCCTCGAAGGAGATCCTACACCAAGACACTGTCTATCGGGATGCCAATTCCTTCGACGAGTCCTATCTTTGACGATGCCGAGATGACCTTTTCTCCATCATCATACCCGCCCACGTCGTCTCTGCTGCCGGGGCCTCCTCCCATATACGGCGAGATCCTTTACGACGAGGCCACAAATCGAGAGATCCTAGTTCAAGGCGAGATCATCTCTCTCCTTGATGATGCCGGGCAAGGGTGGAAACGCCACACTAGGGTGTATGGCGGCGGCGTATGCCTCGCCTGCGCAGCATCCGGTGACGATGGTCACCACGGCGGTTTTTATGGAGAGAACGTTTTACCAGAGGAGAAGTGGTACTGAGCCTTTCTTTGAGTCGGTTCCAAACAGCTGTCTGATCAGTGGTTGTCTATACCCCTTAGGACGAGTCGGTTTCTTGAGGCGTGTAGCAGAGATAGGTGGGAGCAGGGCCTCACCAGCATTGCGACGGGACAAAATGGGTTTGTTTGGTATTCCATTTTAAATTTCGTTGGGAAGGGGCTTTAGCCTTGCAGCATTTCAGTCGTCTTGTATCCTTACTCTCAAGCCCTGTGGGCTTGAGAGCTGGGCCCGTTCGGTCATTATCTTTGGCCTTTCCTGGTGTGTCTAATGTTGGAGAGGGGCGAGCTTGTTGTTTGGGCGGGTGTTACTTTTTGTTTCTTTTGCTCCTTTCTTTCACTGGCTTCAGAAGCTTACAGGCGATATTGGGATGGGAAGGGTAGAGGTTTCTTTCTTTTCTTTCTTTCACCCTCTCATCTTTTTGATAGCTTGTTTGCGCTTGATGACATTTACGACTTGACGACGTAGATGACTTGGTAGCTGGTCACAAAGTGGAAGATGGGGGTAATGTCCTATATATTTTTTTGTTCATATGTCGAGATCGAGAGAAAAGAGACGGGCTGTAGGTTCCCTTGTGTAAGAGGAATATGGCTTAGAAGGAGAGGCCTAAACGAGGTTAAGAGCATGTATGTACGGTGCGTGTGTGTAAGCCAAACAACAAAAAGGTTTCATGATATCAAAAGCGAAAAAAACAAAAGGTCCCGGCGCAGATGGTATCTGCCCTCCGTTATCGAAAGCAATGCGACCTGATTTCCGCAGAATGACACCACGCGCTTCCGAGCACCATTCTACACTTCCCGATTCCATGGTCAACGCGCCGAGTTTCTTTCAGTCCAACAATGCTAGCTAAATGGCCCAAGCCCCTCTCCTTTTCTCAATGGCTGGCTGCCTTTTGTCTAAAGTCACGACGAGGCCCCCCCGGGCCGCAGGCGAAGCCGCGTGATCGGTCCGGCCGGACAATCGGGCAGAAGGCCACTGCGGATCGGGAGGGGGAACGTTTTGTCGGTGAAACATGGAGCTTCCCTCCGTCAGTCATACATGTTGGTTTCAAGGAGTAGAGAAGGGCGTAGTAGGGGAGGGCGGGGTGGTGACGGCTTGAGATTGCCTGTCAGCATCTCGAGACCCCCCTCCCCGTCCCCCCTCTTCCCCCCTGCCGCAACCGATATCGTTGCGAAGCCCCGTCCGTCCATGGATCAAGATGGGGGTTTTTTCTTTCTTTTTTCTATCAATTACAGGTGCTTACCCCCCCATTCCCCCTTCTTTATGATCCTTCTGGGTTTCCTATACTATCCCAGCCTGGCGGAACAGCACAAGACGGTCAGCAAAACTAGGCCGGAAGCCCTCCAGCCTCGGAAGACTCACCTCCCCGCCCCCGGGATACGCGCGTTCCGCCATGGAGCCGCCATCATAGGGGAATCCTCCTAGCGTTCGTGATGGGATCCGCGGGAATGTGTACTTTTCTTTTTTCCTTTTGGTCTTGACCAGTCAAGCAAGCTCCTCCTTCTAGGCGCTCCCGCGAACCAACCATGTCATGACGGCTTATATCATATCCACTGGAAACAGTAGAAGTTGTAGACACTGTGTTGTTGCGCCAGAGTGCTCTCACTTGGGGGGGGGCTTTCTCGGACGAGTTGCGATATCGCCCATCACCGTTCGCCATGGTGGGATTTTGAGGATCCTCCGCCGCTGCCGCAGCCACCGTAAGTCAAGGACCGTCACCCTTCATCATCATAAGCGCAGCGAGTCTAGGATTCCGCTTCAATGTCACAGGAACCCAACGCCCCCCTTCCCTCTGCCCGCAGTGCCAGAAAGTCCTGACCGCCTCAGCATCCCCAAGCGGACCAGGCGGTGTATTCGTAGCATCTGGACGACGAAGGGGGGGGGGGGGGGGGGGGGGGGCAGTCTAGTGATGGCATTCGGGACCTACTCGAAACTGTGGGTTTCACGTCTTCCACTGCCGTCTTACCGCGGGGTCAGCAACTTCGTCAGTACCCTCATGACCTTCTGGAGAAGGCAGGCGGCGGGTATCGCGTCCAGGATGCGCTTGTACCTGGACAAGCTGCCCTAACACCCACCCACCCCTCCCTCCCCCTCCCCGGAAAGAAACTCTAATACCCTTGACCCTGCCCGGCCCTCTATTTCCATCTCACGTCATCCTCGGGAGATTCCAGAAAGCACAACCGATCCCACCGGGCGTGGGAGAGACAGGTCGACGTCGGCATCCTTCGCGAACTTGGGACCCGATTAGGCCGATGAAGTGTATGTGTCTCGCATCCTTCCATGCCGTCACGCGGGCATGACACACAGAGAACGGCAGATGATCGTTGATGTCGATGGATTTGTACGCACCCGTCGGCGGCGACTGGTAGGCCGATCGTCAGCTACGCGGCTCCGTGGTGGGACCTCGACCGAAGTCCCACTGCCATGACCTGTCGATCCGTATGGCCGTCCCAGGCGGTTAGTCATTGTGCGCACAGTCTTTGTCCGAGGAATGGATGCTGTGTAACATGCCGCGCGTGGATTCAGTGTTGCGATATCGGCAGAGACCGTGGCGTTGTTCAGAATCATGATCAGCGAACCTCCTGTGGGTTCTCTGGAGAAGCCCGGGTGAAAGGGGCGGTAATGAGGGCACGATGACTGTCTCTCTGATGCGCGATTACGGCCGACTTCTCTGCTGCAAACACTTTCCGGCGCAGAGATCCTGGGAAGGGGTCCGAGACGCTAAAAGTGGATAATTTTCCGGTTTGCGCGTCAACAGATCGAGATGGACGAGGAGCATGATTACTCCCACGTCAGCTGCCTCACTGCTGACACCCCCGCCTCCTTCGTCGAAAACCGTCTCTGGACAATATGTTGATCAAACCCAGGGAGAAATCGTCTAGGTTGCTCGATCCTCTCAGCATATTGCCGTTCTTGGGTTTCGAGGCGTGTCGCCTTCAGAGAATGCCGCATAATAGGCCAGCCTTGGTCAAAGTACCATGGTCGACCGTGTGATCGAGCCTTGGGCGGGGATTGCAGCGCGAGAGGCGGCGGAAGGATTCAATTCTCGGGTGGTATGGGTCTTGGGACGGGAGAGAAGCGCGGAATCCTTCCTCGAAAAACCTACTGGGGTAGCTATTGGGTTGATATACGAGCCTCACCCGACGCAACGGTTGATTGGCTGAGCGGCGAACTTCGAGGCAGAGCTAACGACCGAAGCCCAAGGACCAGGAGGCCGAGCTTCAACTCTCAAATACCCTCAGCCCTATGGCACGGTCAGCCTGGGCGTGCTCGAACGCCTCCGGATAGGTTTGGCTGGGGGTGTGGTTTGTTGCAGTGGGCCTTGGCGAGGCCGGCCAACGTGACCTTCGGACGCTGTGCTCGAGCTAAAGTTCTTAATGAATGTGAAAAGACGACGCAAGACTGATAGCCTTCTTGATGTTTCTCAACTCAACCCCAAGCGAGCTAATACGATTCCTGGCACGATGACCTTTTGGGATGCCACAGGTAAAGTCTTGCACATCCTGATTGATGTATACTTCAAACGCTGTAGGTATCCGGAGAGCTGCATTGACTCACTTTGAATGATAGTGAACCGTATCCGTTCAGTCGAGTGAGCATCGCCGACTCGGTGTGCAGTCCGACATCAACAGGACGCTGGAGAAAGAACTGCGTTGGGGATGTGAGGGTTGTGTCACTTGTCGTTCCTGCAGCAAGATCAAATAACGTTCACGGCTGATACTGTACAGATACTCTTCCATTGAAGAGACGACCTCTCTCTCTCTCTCTCTCTCTCTCTCTCTCTCTCTCTCTCTCTCTCTCTATCCCTCCTACTTCGTGCTGGTACAGCATACTTGCTCTGACGAGTAAGGAAGTCAAAATCTCACTGGATCACAGGCCGAGCATATGCCCAGCCCGTGAGGATTCGGCCGGTGTCGCAGTTACAAACCGAGACGGCAGTTTTGACGCTCGATGCTGTAAGGAAGCACATGTGAAGGCGTAGGGGGTGACAAGATATCCAGCACCGTCAAACTCTTGTCCGATGGGAGATGATTATCATCATGCCAGCCGCTGAAGATCCGATTCTGCCCCAGACCGATCGGTTGCTGTCAGACACAAATTGTCTCCCCCCACCCCTTGGACGACACTATTGGTACCTGCATACTGGGCCACAATTCGAGGTTGTATGCCAGGAGTGTCTGGATAAGGCCAAATCGAATGTAAAGTCAGGATGCGGTTAGTATTGCCTGGTGTTGCTGTCGCAGCGATGACATTGCGTCTGCCAGCGCCATCTGTAGCATTCCTTGGGTTAGGTTCACCGGGGGGGGGGGGGGCTCTGTCAAACTGCTAGCTGCCCTTTACAATCACCCTAGAGTTCGCCATCAGCCGCGTGTTCTGCAGGGGAAACTGGTTATGTTGGTTTATATGTTGTCCCGAGTTGCACATTCATGGTGACAATTCACGATTATCTAAACTGTGCTTGCCTCAGGCTAGGTTCCGCGGACCACTTGCCGAACGGGGTAAGCCATGTAAAAACAGCCACAACCGTTGCAGGGCGATGGTTGTCTGCACTTGGCGTGGTGCCTCCACTGTACGATTCGAGACTGTTATACGTTTAGCCGAATCTGCGGCTGGCACTGGCAGGTACGTCAGGCAAAATGTGCGAGCTCCTGCCCACTGAGGCCAAACAACAGGAAAATTTGAATCCAATGAGCCGTTATGGACGTCAAAGGGTGGAGGTAATTCCCTACTATATCTAGCGGTTGAAACCAAGCCGATTTCGAGATGCCTCGTTGGGGTAGGGAACGACAGTCCTGCTAGTCTCATGGAACCGACTTCCGGCTGTTGGTGGCCTGCTCAGGATGAACCGAGTCTACTTTCAGGTACAAGAGTTTCTCAGGGGTTTACCGAGCGCGTGAGTAGCTCAATCAGGGGCCCCGCCCGGGCAGTTCACCTCGTAGCTAAGGGGGGGGGGGGGCATCCCGTGGCACCGTGGAGCACCTTGG